GAAATATGTGAGGTACATGTCAGTAATGCATCCCGTTGCCCTGCTGTCCATCTGATGGATGCAGCGCTGAGCCTGTACCAAAGCTAAGAGCTTATATAGAATAACTAAGTCAGTTTATTTTAGAACAGCTTGAAAGCACCATTTGGTTACATCCCAGCCCTCTGAACAGAACATTTCTTATAACGCAGAAATGTGCTTTCTCCCTAAAAGTAGTTCTGATGCCAGTCAGCATTTCCAGACCAGCCATTTATAGCAGACAACTTACTGACGGATTATTTGTAACACAGGCTCTTTGGACTGTGATCATAAAAAAGTAGTTTTTTATCAGTAAAAAAAAAAAAAAAGCATGAATTCCAGCACTGATTCATTGCAGCTGAGCTTAAAGGTTCACTCTTCAAAAATCTTTATAACAATTGTGGAGACAAATGGAAAGTCATTTAAGTATCAGCTTACAAATCCCAGGGCATGCCCTTCCCTACCTGCCTGCACAGACCAGCAACTCAGACAAGCCTCTGCAGCCCAGGCAGCAAGATGCCAACACTCCACTTTGTGCTGCAAGAGTTCAGAAGAACAATAAATGCCTTTTACCAACAAAGGGACTTCATCCAAGAGCACTGCTGTCCTCAGTATCATGAAGCTATGGTCACAGGCTCAGGAAAGTAATTTCTCACTGTTTTAAAATTGACTAGAGAAAAAAAAAATCTGTGTAGTTCAGGTTTAGAGAGTTCCTAGTTTGATGTTTAACACAATGTTTTATTCCACTTGTCATTTAGGTACCTGTCATATACAGACCAGATACTGTATCACTGAAGTCTAAAGTTTCATTACTGACTTCATTCACAGCAGATTTGAGGCCCTGCTAATTCTTTTAATGAGATTTAAATACAGCTACCAGAATGAGGATACATTTTTGTTTGAAAAGAGTAATTATATAACTTTGTTTCCACAAAGTTTGAAAAAGGTATCTAAAACTGTTTGTAGGGAATACATATTTATAGTAGTATCAATGGAGATCACAGGGCTGGGATAATTATTTACTTCTCTTAAATCCACCAAGAACCACATCACCTTAGAAACCTGGGGGGTATGGGCGTCAATCTGTCACCTTTGAGTAAAGGCCAACACAAAACTATTTATCTTTATAATTTAAAGATTTCAGCATAGGATTTTCACCCTTGAGTTTCAACAAACTGAGCTACACTTGACAAAATATTCCAGCATTTTTCCTCTTGGAAGTAGCAACACCTTGCTGACAGCTGCAGTGGGCAGTATTTGGCAGCATGCAGCTCTCAAACAGGATAGCAGGACAGTTGCTGACATCAAATTTGAAAAGCAACAATTTCCTTCCCCATCTATGACCATTATCCTCATTTCTCCACCTTTTCCAAAATGATCCAAGCCTCTACCAACACATCCTCCCACAACTCATGAGAAAACAAATGGACGTGCTTTCTCAATTTACAGATAATAGTACCGTGGCATTTTCATTCCTGGGGTATAAGCAATGGGAGAGATGTCTCAGAACCCAGCAGCAAGGAATGCATGTACTAAATAGGTACTAGAAAGACATGAAGAATTCAGTGCTGAGTTTTCAGCTAATGCTGGAATAAAATAACCACCAAATGACACCAGACATCTGGAAGTTGTCTGTAGTGACAAACTCTTTTCAGAATTAGACAAAATCAAATAAGAAAAAAAATGAAATTAAAAAAAGGTCTAGAGACAAGAGATTTTGCATTACTCAGAATAAAGTAATTTCATCTCCACAGACTAATTTGAAGTCATGTTTTGCAACCATCTATTGAAAAGGCCATGTGGCTGCACTGTGGGTTCTGATGTTCCAAAACATCTCACAGCTTTAAGGTGCACTACACCGGATCCTGAAATTCATTTTTGGTTCACACTGAAAATCTTTTTATCGGTTAGTTTCAAGTGGTAATTTTGGAAAGCTATTCACTGAAGTAGGAAGGCAAAAGGTCATTTATACAAGGGATTTTAAACATTTCACCATGAACATAAAAGTTTGGGCAGTTTTTGAGAGTGGATCAGATGTTAGTTAGCACACTAAACTCAATCCAAGGAAATAGCAACTGCAAATCATGGTGACTGATACCATTTCAAAGCCAAGCTTCCTTTGATGCAGAGGAGAATATTCTTCCTGAGGGAGTAAGGGGACACAGTTACAAACATAAAATGGCAAAGCCCTACACCAATGACCGAAGTGACATTCCAAAGTACTGGGAGGCTCTGTGTGCAGGAATCAAACAGAACAATCCCACCCCCATTTCAGCACTTGAAATGTCAATTCAAAATTCCCAAGTAAAGTCTACAGCAACATGCAGAACCCCTCAGACACAGCAATGAGCCCCTGGACTGGGAAACAGGGAGAGCAAGAGCTAGGCCTAAAAATGCGAGGGCAAACTTGGCATTTCTGAAGGCTCTGAGAAAGGAGAATTGCACTGAAGTACATGTGCAGTTCAAAGAACAACATTGGATCAAAGCTACTCAAGTCATGATCTTTAAAATAAATAACAAATATAGCCAGACAAATATAATCAGGATGAACTGTGGAAGGCTGAGAGTTGGAGCAGCTACACTTAACTTGCTCCACTCCATGAGGGGCTCATGTTCTTGAACTTGGCTGGAAGCAAGAGGTAGCTCCCAGTGCCTGTAGAAGCTTTCACTGTCCCGCAGAGGGATGCTGCTTCTGCCTGTGCTTCCTCCTGCTTCTGCTGATCTAAACACAAAGCCATGGAAGATCTACTGTTCCATTTCAATGTCAAAAACATTACACTGAAGAATTAAGAATTCAGTAGATAGTACTTGGAAAGAACTTTTTAGACAGTATTTAAAGAAAATAAAATCTATAAAGTTCCTTTGTGAACATGAGAACAGAAAAACAACGGAGTATTTTAATCAACATTTTTGCACATTTAACATTTCTCTAAAATGCCAAAATTTTAAAAGGAGAATCACATCCCTGTCTGGATTTACTGCACCAGAAGTGTGGCTAAAGCTCAGTGATTCTACGCATAGAAGAAACTGCCTCAAAAGGGAACAGGACTGTGAATATTCAATATTGTCTAAACCAAAAATTCTTTGTCCCAACACACTATACTCAAATGTATATTTAAGTGAGAATAAAACGTGGTGAAGTTAAAACAATAGATTTGAGTGAAGATCTATTCAGGAGATTATCTGCTTTTCCTCCCAACACATCTTAAACTAACACACCAGGAAATGGAGCACTGAAGTCAACTCCTTCCAAGCTCACCTAAAGGGCAAAAAAAAAAATCTGAGTTCTTTGAAGTCAGGTATTTTCTGCTTTCAAACAAACATGGTTTTTACAACAAATCCTTCTAGGTTAGAGCAGATTCCACAAAGCTTTGAATTTCTGACTGAGCTTCTGAACTGTCATGCTGGTTATTACTAGTAGGCACAGAAATTCCCATTTTAATTAGAAACTTTATTTTGAAATAGATTACACAGTTTACATGTGAAGTGCTTTCAATATAAGATATTTCATAACATTGTGCTGACAATGGCTGACCAGTTTTCTTGAAGCTCTTCCAGTTATGTTTTTTTTTTCATTAAAACTATCTTACAGAATCAAGATGCAACTTAGGCATTTGTATTCAGCAGCTAATTACTATGTTTACCTTAGGGAGAAAGTCAACTCTTCTAATTATGTGTTTCAATGGTGTTAAGCATTTGGCATAAGACTGAAAGAAACCCGACCCCCAATCAAACTCAAATTCACCAAAGACGTTTAAAAAAAATTCTTCCTGATCAAACTACTTTGTTAATAAGGCACAGTCAGACAAATATTTATAAAGACTGTCTACTAATTCAGTTTTACCTGTACAGCCTTCTCGCTGGTCTGTCAAAAGTAATCTCAAAGTTGTTTTCCCTGTCTGCTGCTGAGACGTTTCAAGAACAAGGCAGAGCAATAAGGCAACTAAAAGAACGAGCATGCAAAGGAGTTTGGCATTTGGGATGGATTCTGAACATTTTCAAAGTAGTTCATTTTATAAATGGAGCATTCACCTGCTATTATTAAAATGGTGGCCAACTCTGATAAGAAAAAAGAAGTGGTGCAAGCAGAGGGTATTTAAATAGAAATAAACAGGATGTCTGGTATGCTTTCAGCTAAGACCTCACAGGCAGCAATTCCCACAACTTTCAGAGATAACTAAATTGAATTCTGAAATTCCCCTCTGCCACTCTGAAAAGCTGAATGTACTAGGTTTCTTGACTGCAGGTGAAATATCAGGGAATGAAATCTCCATTTAGATAATGAGCCAATACTGCATCCTACTTTGCATTTCTTATTAGAACAAAAGGAAGTCTTCAGGAATGACAAATGAAATAATTACATCATTTTTTTGGCTGGAAGAAAGTTCAAGAATCTTTAAGATGTGATAATGTTTAAAAAAAAAGAAACTATTTCTATCCACAGTCAAAGAATGAAAAATAAAAATGAAAGATAAAAAGAGAAGCCTGACCTTCCCCTCCCAAATAATCTTTGCAGAATAATTGCTTAAGCTTAGCACTGTATGGCTTCTGTGGCCTCTGAATCCCAGATAGATACTCTAAGAATTATCATTGTCAAGCTACTGTTTGTTTTCAATTTTAAGTAATTTCAAACAAAAATACTGTATCTATTTCACTTCAGTAATCAAACTGAGCATAAAAATCATTAGAAGTATTTCTGATACAAATTTGTATCACATACTAAAAGATATTATTATATAGATAATTGTGAAAAAAATTAAGACCATACAAAAAGTATTTCAAATTCTTTTGCTGAACTCATAGTGCAGGTTTAAGATTAAAAAAAAAAATCTGTAAATGAAGTAGTCAAGAAATGTTGACTACAAAATACATTCTAAAGTATTTTACAGAATGGCTGAATTATCAAGCACAAGAACTGAGGATAAAGAATGTTAATGACAAGCAGCCACATACAGAACACAAAGCAATAAGTTTAAATCAGACTATTTTGGTTTGTGTAGCCCTTTATTAGCAACTAAAATAGAAGATATCTGTTGTACATCACGGGTAGTAACTGACTATACTGGAGTTTTATTATATTCTAATACAGGATAATTTATAAATGCGTTGTTTTCCTTTTTTTTTTCTTTTATTAAAAAGCTTCCACCCCCTTTTTCTGTTTACAACTTGCAAAACTATTCTGAAAGCAGAGTATATGTGCACAGGTCTGCAAAGAGTGCAAATTTAGGATATGGTAAATGCTTTATATGTTGTATTTGTAAGGACAGTCTACCACCATGTCTTCATAGCCATTATCTCTTCCCCAAAAAACAAAAAAGAAAAAAAAAGGCAAAAAAAAAAGCACAAAAAGTTCTTATACCAGCCTTCCTTCCATTGTCCTAAACAAGAAAGCATTTTTAAATGAGTTGAAACTAAGGAAGGACTACACCTACTAGAAAAGAACAGAGTTCTATTAGTTTGAGGTTTCAGTATACCCAAAGACCAGGGACTGTATCTTTGTAAGGGCTAGGCTGGGACCCCGTATACAGAGTGTGTGCAGGTGCCATCCCTGAGCATTCAGTGGTTCAGTGGACCATAAGTGCTCCAGCTGCATAACTCACTGAGCTGTCTTGCCAGTTTCGACACTGGCTTGACTGAGCATAATTCAAAAACGAAAAGCTCATATTCATTCCATTCTTCTGGAGCTCATTGATAGCCTAAAGAGAGGGGGGAAATTAAAAAAGGGCCATTAAAAATTGGTATCAGTGAAATTACAACATTTTCTAGTTCTCAGTCCTTTCCCCCTGTTTTGGAGGTCCTCATAAGCTCATAATATAAGCACCTCCCCGTAATTTGTGGACCTAACCATTTCTGTGCGTTTTCGTTCACTGACGCTCCCCCCACCGCATTATATACATTCATGCAGTTCTTTGAAGCAATACTAAACAACCTTTCATAATAGGTCCTTTAGAAACAATGCTTTCAGTTCCATGGGGAGTTGATACAGAGACAGAGATGTAATAGAGAAAACCCCAACACTATTAACACTTTTTAGATTGTATTTCTTCCATTAATGAAAAATAATGTACAAGGATAATTTATTAAAGTGTGACAATTGGCAAAAGTGAATAAACAGAATTTAGCTCTGATTCACTGCAAAACTAATCATTATCTGAAGGTAAGAGTCGGGTATATTTGCAGAGTTGTCATAGTACTGAATTTTGCATCCCCAATATTGATATTGCTCATACAAGCTTTTATAGACTTCACTTCAAAAGGTTCCTCTGTATGTTCTCCATACAGACTACATTCCCAGTGAATTTTAAAAAAGTTAACATGCTTCCTGTTTCAGATTTGATTTAGAGTAAAAATAAATGAGATTCAATCAGCAATATGACAAATCTGCAGCACTCCAGCAGTGCTGTAAAGTAGCTGTGGACCAAATTTAGACAACTAAGTTAAGCCAGGTTTATGTCTGCACTGCATCACCAAAGCAGAATACAGTAAATAGAAAGTACCAGTTAATCTGAATTCTAATTGCTGTTAATTTATGAGTTAATGATGCACTGCACTAATACTTACAGAGGCAATCTCTCACCATATTTGCAAAAGTCAAAAACGTTGCCAGACATCACAAGGCACTCACAATAGCTAGCTAACAGCAATACAGAAAAAATATATACGTGTTTGTAAGTACCGGTTTGAAAAGTATGTACTTTTTCAGGGAGATGGATTTATTTGTTCATTTTTTTAAGGCCAAGAGAAAGGGAATGATTGCATTTAATTGAAATTTAAAAGGAATGTGGTGTACCTCATCTCCCTTAGGGAACTGAAAACTCTCAGCCCTTTTAAGAGCTTACATCTGTCTATATGCAAGACACGGAAATTGGAGACCAAATTGAGAACATTTGGAAAAATAAATTAATTCAAGGCTTGTCATTTTAGAACTAAGGAATGCTGCAGCAATACTGTGTTTTAAACAAAGGTAAGCAGTTTTCTAAAAGTTACATTCTTTAACAAATCAAAAGTTACTTACATTTAATAACACTCCAATAGGATGTCTTCCACATATTGTATTATGGTATTTCTTCAAGTAATTGCTAAAAGATACAGGATCTAGCTGCTCTATAATGCTCATACCCTGAAAAAGAATTGTTAGCAATAATTACGTAACACATTCATAAGCAGATGTTTATATATCACCTATTTATTACAACAGAACAGTTCAGGAGGAAAAACCCTTTACTTTGTACCAAGGATATCAAGGAAACCTCAGCATGTGAGCTCTAGCTTGCAGTCATCTTGTTTCCATCCCTTGCCAAAATAAGAGTGCAGGAGCTCTTCCAAAGCTGTCCATGATCCACAGATCTGTGAAGCTATCTTTGCAGATACCAGTGAAGCTCATGCTAAAAGAGCTCATTCCACAGACTAGCTGATCCCCACTCTCCAAGTGTATCCTACTTCCATAGGATTTGGTACAGCTACAACCAGGCAAATTTACTAAAAGGGCAAAGCAAGAAGAAGAAGTCATGCCTTCATCTCCTCTCCCTGGTAACAGAGCTCAGGGCCAACCACTTGCCTGGGACTCCTGTGGGTCCAAAAACCCTGGATAAACTATCAATAGGCACACATGCAATTCACACACAGAGCAAATGTAATGTATCCTAGACACATCAGGCATGCAAGGCAATTGTTCTGGGCATGGGTTGGCCATCTGCTCAGAACATAAAAAAGCAGATCCAGAACATCTCTAGAGTACTATGAAGTTGTTGCACCACAAAAATGTAAGAGCCAGGAGATGATGCTTCCACTTTACACGAGACAGTTACATATATAAATCCTTTTCTCCATCCACAGCGAGACCCATGATCCCATGGAGTCACACTAAGAATATCAGCACATGTGTGGAAAACAAAACCTTCCACATACACAAACATTTGCATTCTTAAAAGCAAAAAGAATCCTACAACTCCAGATACAGCCTACTCTTACGCCATCCCACAGAGCAGATCGAACGTAATGAAAGTTGTTCAAAGCAAGTCTGAATCAATTATTGTTTGGGTTACATCATGGCTTTGCTATTTTGCCTGTATTAGACTCCATCCTCTTACTTTTTTCCTTCCTCTAAAAATGATGAATTCCCTTCACCAGGTAAATGAGCTCCAGACACTCAGTAATTCAGTAAGACACATGGTTGTGCTGCTTCTGCTGGTAAAACAGGAAGGTTTTCCTTAGAGACTGGAAAAAAACTTACACTTCGTATGGGAACAATGGGAGGTTGATATCAGAAAGGGAGTTAATTTCGTCTAAGATTTCTGCAATTTTTCCAGCCCCAGTCCCTACTTTTGGGAAAATGTGGGTGATAAAAGAAGAAACCACAGTGCAGGAAGCAGTCAGTCTGAAGCCTCCATCTCAAGAGCAAAACCTTCCAAACACTCTGCAAGGGCGTTGGCTGATCTGGCAGATACACTGATTATTTAGACTGGATCACAGCTTACAATGGAGGAGCTGGAGATTCCCAGGAGAGTCAGGGAGAATTACAAAACAGCAACCATAACCACCACCTTTGTGTACTTTTAAATAGAAACAGATGTAAGATGAATTCATAGAGAAATAAATTTTATGGAAAAATAAAACCCAATTGTGCTGACCAATTGCTGGCAAGAGCTCATGGAGAGGGTGTTTGGACCCCTGGCTGGTAATTACAGCAGTTAATCACTCCAGATCTACAGAACGTGAGTGCCAAAAAACTAACAGTAGGTATTTGCTAACTAGCAGTGATCACATAGATACCATTACATTTCTAGAATTTACAAAGCATGTCTTTGAACTACCCGTTTACTTGTAAAAAATCGTACGTGTCAATACATATGTTCTGCTGAAGAAAGCAGAACTAAACCTGACTACATACTCAAGTGAAACTAAACATGCATAAGGTGCTTACTCGGATACTGAACAGTTCATGAGAATAAATTTTACCTCTTTGTAAATCCCTTCACAACCTTTTCAAAAAATGAAAATGGCTGCTCAATTGAGAGACTTGTTTTAGAGTTGTAAGTCACTGGAACATACTGGGTAGAGGCATTTGAGCATTTGTCTCAAATGAATGGACATGGATTTATGAGAATGCCTAGTAAGCCTATTTCAATGCACTGTTCAGCACTGCAAAACATTTAGAGCTATGCAGTTCATCTCAGAAAATGCTAACAGAGTTCCATACATTACAGACTGGAGAAAATCCATAGCAAATGGGTATTAACAAATATCCTATAAGCAGGCAGTTGTACTGAACTTTTCAATCTTTTGGATTTAAAAATTGTTGTGGCAGAGAAGCAAAGACTACCAAGCTCGTTTCTCAGTCTAAAATGGTGTTGAGGAAAAAAGGAAACATTTTTGTCAGGTTGTGTTTTATTTTTCTAAAAAGCAAAATTATGAAGCTACTAATTTTTAGTATTTGTAACAACTAAGCCAGGCATGGCTTAGAACAGAGTTAAAACACGTGACAAAACCCACATGATAAAAACGCAAACACAGTTCTGCAGTTTATCACATGGTTATTATGGCATCACATAGCAATTGCATACCTCAGTTACCCAGACACTGTTAATGGCATCTACAATGTCGTAGCACAGTGCACTTAATATGATTAAAACCAGTTACATTTCTAAATATCATCCCTTAATAGGATCAAGCATCTACAAGCTTACAAAGATTACAAAAAAACCCAAAACACCCAAACCAACACACACACAATCTCCACCAACCAATAGGTTTATTTCACACTATACTCCACTAATCCTCTGGTTGGTTAAATTAAAGCTTGTTATAAGTCACTTCAGCTGCTTCTTCACACTTAAAAATATAAACTAATAGCCCTCTAATGGAATTAGAAAAAAACTTGGCCTTAATACCATCCAGTCCAACTATCTTTGCATGTGTAGTCACTCAGACTGGAAGATAAACAACCAACAGGAAAATTACTGGCTGGGCACAGCAGAAACAGCAGGGATCTGGGAACCCAGGCAGAGAGTCATTGTCTTGCATTATGCTCAGGTTAAGAAGCCTTCCCAGGCTGGAGCACTGTGGAAGGTTCTGGCATACTGCAGCAGCGCTGCAGAAGCCACCGGAATTCAGCAGTTCATTAGAGCTACCTGAGAAGTCACCAGTGCTGAGAATGGCTCCTGCACAACCACTGCTGGCTGTTCCTGCACAGCTCTCCTCAGTGACTGCATTGTCAGCATTCAGGGTAACAGAATCCTCCCATTGACTCACGTGAGGCATAACATTTCCCATATAAATTATATGCTCATATAAAATGAGCAATCTGGCAGTGATGATTGAAGAGAGCCATCTGCATTTTCTGGGTAGTCATAATCAAGAATAATTACTCTTCAACAACATCTTACAAAATACTCCCCCCCTGCCTCTTATTTAAAAAGATGGTAGTTAGCAGGTTATGCTGTACAAACTACTGTACACGAGCTGTTCAATAATAACTCTTCATTTGAGGATTCTTCCCTAAGGTACCCCTAATTAACCATGAGGCTTATTTACTTCTTTTACTGTCACTTCACAGAGTGCATTGTGGTGACAGCGCTCATAACAATTACCATGGAGAAACTGATGTCTGTCTAGTAATATTTACTACTCTGTATTTTTTCATGCTGGAGTCTAATGGCTCTAACTTAGAATCACAGCAAATAAAATTTCTCACCATGGTTACCAGCTTAGTGAAACTTCAATACCCAAAGTGTTCAGCAGTTTTTATGCACTAGGTGGGAAAATCATTATGCATCTATATGCAAGGTTCAGTCCAAATAAGGAGGAGACCACTATCCTTCCACAAGGGCATTTCAAAGGCAAATTGATTTCATCTTAACCCAGAATGCCTTCCTGCTAACAAAGCGCTCAGCCGACTGCTTTCCTAGTTAGGTCCAATAAAATTAAGCCAATTTTAGTACTATAAAAATACTTTTTCAAACAGTAGACATAATTTTCCATATCACAAAAAATGTAATTTCCTTTTGGTTGAATAACTACCAAAAGAAAGAGTTGGTGCAGCAATGCCTTTCCTAAAAGTAATTAAATGCCAAAGTCCAGTCTTGAAGCTTTCACCACAGACATTAACAAAGGGAAACTAACGTTTGCTAATGCACCATAATCTACTCTCCTGCAAAAACATTCAGAGCTGCAAATTCTGGGATTCTGTAGAAAACCACTTGTATTGATAGAGAAAGCCCTCAACTGACTACAAGAATTATTAAAAATGGGATAAACAGAATGAAGGTAAGTTATTTACTGTTCCAATTCCAGTGATTAGTGGAAAAACAAAGATTAATATGGCTACACAGAGCAAAAAACTTAAGAGATCCCTCCAGCAGCCAGGATTTATTCCTTCAAGACATGGAAAAAATTAATATGCCAGGAGCAACAACAGTTCTCTCTTCTAACGGATTCTACAGAAATTACATAAATGATGTAAGCAGTTGTAAAACAAATTTTAAGATTATGTATTTCCAAAAGAATTACTTTGATTCTGTGCCTTAAGTATAGTCTTGAACATTAACCTTTTTTTAATTTAAAAATAAATCCTTGGCTCCTGTGATTGCAAAGGAAACACAACATAATTGGCATCATAAACCTTTATGTATTTAGCATTCCTTTCAGCCTTTCACCAAACACAGAACGAAGTATGGTCTACTTCTCTTTCCCACCACGTACTACAGAGTAAGGGTCAAGGGGAACACTATTACCAAGTATGGTGGCGACTCATTTTCCTGACCAGTGCAACCCCCTACAGCCTTTCCTCCTCAAAATGGATGTTGCTGAAACATTAGCTCAATCACAATGCTGTTTCTGTATGCAGGTATCACAGCTATCAAATCTGAACTGCCACAATACTCCATGCATGATTCTTACTGACTCTCAAAAACATAAGAGGGTATGCAGACAGGAATTACGTGACACTGGGGCATTTTTAGGTAGATGAACATGCATTTATTCTCATAAATTACTCTTACTAGATTATACCCACAATATAACTGTGTGCAGTCAGTAAAATGGAGGATACTAACTAAAAACAACAGCTAAGTTCTTATTGTGCTAAACAAAGGAAAATGATACATTCAATAAAATAGCTAATCTATAATATTTTGTTAGAGAAATTTCTAAAGTGTTCAAAGAAATGTAATGTACAGGAGAAATTTGTTAGTTAGTTCCACCAAATCTGAAAACTTACCATTTTATCTAGGTGCTCAATGGATCTATAAATTTCTCCTTGGGATTCATCATAGTAACTGTAACGGAACCTCTGACCTTGAAACAAAAATCATGTATAAAATAAAAAAGGGAAAAATTGTAGCTAAAACACTCCCTAGTACTTACTAAATATTTGAAAGTATAATATTTGTAAACTAGTAATCTTCATTTATTTTATACGTTTTAGCTCCACTCCGAAAATTCTAGGGCTATCATCAAGTAGCAGCCCAGAAACAAAGTAAAAAAAAAAAAAATACAGGATGGGCAGCTATATTCCTAAAGAGAAACCTACTACGTAGAACTGACACTGCAGTATCATTTATCAAGTGCCTGTTATTGCCTTGGAATCCAATTCTATAAATTAAAAAGTAAAGAAACATTTCGTTTCTCTATCCTTCTTGGCCAAGTCAACCATGGAGTCAGGCTACTTCTGCTTGCACAACAATACCCACAGTAAATGAAGGTTAAACGAAAAAATTTATGATAATTCAATGAACAGTTCTAGATGGTTCATTAGCCACAACAGAACCCAGGTCATGATATATACTTGCACCTACTCCACAATTCAAAGATGAGTAAAATATGCACTTAATTATGTAAGTTGACCAAAGATGACAAGGAAAAAAAGAAAGAAGGTCTGTTGTGTAACATATCTTTCTGAAGCAGTCCCTTTTCCAGCTACTATCACACTTAAAAGAAAAATAAAGTGTTAAAGGAGGACAGAAGTCAAGGCTTCTGGAGTCTTTTTAGCTCTGCCACCAAGATGAACTGGGATAGCTCTGGTGAGTTGGCATAAATACCCCATCTGCTATCTTACCCAGCAGTAAAACATACAAAACTTATTTCCGTCAGAGGAATGTGGCCATGTCCAGTGAATTTTTAGCTAATTAGTTTTGCAAGTTGTTTGAGGTGCTTAGAAGAAGAGTAAAAAAGCAAGCAACTTCAGATAATTATTACATTGCAACAGTAAAGAGATGCATATAAACCCACACACCTTCACCATTTATTTCCCCCACTATACTGAAAACACATTATCACATCAATTTTTTTCACCTATCATTCCAGATTTAAAAAAATCCTTTAATTAACCTTACGAAGGCATTTAAGTTTCAAAAATACATGTACGAGAAGTTAAAATGTTCAATGTATAAAAAATACATTATTTGAAAATAACTACGAAAGATTCAACATACTGTTATCATGAAGAGATATGAAACTTACCCCAATGACAAAAGTCAGAAGAAACCACAAAGAGGTTACTAGGATCAGCTAGGTATTTACTGAAGAGTTTTCCAAATTCCTGCTCTTTTGACTCACTCAGTGCTCCGACCAACACAGGAATAATAGTAAACTCATCCTTATGGCTTATAAGCAAAAGAAAAAAGGTTGTAGTTCAAGTAACATCTGAAGATTTTTCAGGGCTTGCTAACTGAAAGTACAGAATGCTTTAAAAGGTCACTATTGATTTGAAGATAGTAATTCGGTAAGGTCACACTAGGATGTTGTTTTAGAACCTCAAAGTACTTAAAACTTCAGAAAATAACACACAACCCCAAATGCAGTATTTAACTTTGCTGCAAAGTGAAAACACCAGGCAAAAAAAAAGACACAGTGAAATCAGCAGTGAAATAAGAATTAGATTCAACCTGTATAGATGCTGCATGTTGGGTAATTCTCCAAAGTATATGAAACGTATATGAAAATGCTCAAGGTAGTACCCAGGTGTATACTGACACTCCAGGGAAAATTCAAAATACAATGGAAGAAATAATAAAAATAAAAAGATGGGACCTGTACATGTGGGAACAACCCCCAACACAAATTGACACTTTTTCTCTAATGATGACAATTTTTATTTCAAATACAGATCTGAAACAGCAGGTGTAAACAGAACCCTGATTTCAAAATTAGTATTAAAGCTCCAAACAAACTTAAAATCCCACAGAAAACACCTATTGGTATTCGAACCTCTTGCAAAGATGCCTTGCAAAAAATGGGGGGGAAGGGGGAGGAAATCGGCTATGGAGAAAGAGTTAATATAGATAAGCTTTCATGAACCTATTTTAAGTCAATGTAAACCTGTCTATAAGAGGTGTTATAACTTCATCATTCAGGTGTTTGCTCTGCTCACAGTTTCTATTACAGCATCTTATCCTAGTCTCTGACCCTCTCCTTACCAAAATTTTTACTGGGGTGTGGAGGAGTGTAAGCATTATATACCATATAAGGTACTCTATGTCATAAAATTCATTATTACTTTCTACTGCACTTAATATGTAGTTCAAACTTAACACACAAAATGCTCATTCTTGTAGAATTAATTAGCCCGAGTACCTTTCCATGGCTTTAGCAGTATAAGGCAAATGCATTTCAATACTGTGTTCATCTTCATCTGTCTGTAGGGACATACGCTCAAACATTCCAGTCTTCCACAATTCTCCATAAACTGAAATGAATTAAAAGATTAATTTTTACTACTTTATGTTTCTGAAAACTGCTACAAGTAAAAAAGCAAGCTACAGTGCATCTTTATAAGAACACGCCCACTAGAACAAACTACTTGCCTCCAAAGGTTGTCATCACAAACCACTTGTTTCTAAACAAACTCAGGATTAAAATGATATTCAAGTAATTAAGATACAAATGTAATTGATTCAGTTTACAAAATAAGTACGTTAAAACAGTGAACTTGTTAGTATATTGAGAAAAATCTTGTATCGTAACTGAAAATCCAAGTAACACAAATAAAACATATTTGAAAATATACATGAATTTGCCCAGTCATTGAATTCTTATATTCACAAACAGCATCATTACATATTAAAAAAAAAATTGATCAGTGAAGCCATTGCTGGATGTGTAACTATTTAACACAATTTATTATTGACTGAATCATGAAATCTAGAGACAGCCAAAACTGGTTAAGTAATCCACATTTGCAAGTTATCTTTTCTATTCTCAAGTGTGCTTGAGAGAATTCAGAGTCATTTCTACATTTTGAAAATTCTTCACTGCACAAAAAATTTGATGTAGGGCTGTGCCTCCTTCTTTGCTCCTTTCATAAAGGAGTTCTACAAAATCCAAAACACTTCTTACCTAAGGAAATTTCTGCAGGCACTATGTAGAAAGCCTGAATTATCTTGCTTAATCACAGTTATGATGAAACACAATACATCTGCGCTAATTAGCCCTTCTGAAAAAGATACTGTATTATTTAGGTATACCTCGAAATGCATAAAAGTCAAAATATCAAATTGATCTTCACTGCACCTTTAAGCTTACTTCCAAAGACTGGTATTTCATGGATTAATGATTTTTAAGTTCTGCAGGTACTTTGCAAGTTAAAAAGTCACATGCAATAATGCATGTTTCTCTGCTATTCCTCTATCAGAAATCAAACTCAGAACCAACTGAAGTACCTTTTTCCAGCCAGAATACTTCACAGAATAATGGAGAAGGTGCTTAGTGAGCTGTTCTTTGACAGTAACACTTTTTAATTTTTAAAACTCTTTTAAAGATCACTTGTCAAGAGGCACACACTCAAAATGGAAAAGATAAGCAAAAATTGAGAGTTCTTTACTTGTCAGGAGCAAGAGAGATATTATGGTTATAACATGACAATGCCTGCCACAGCCAGGATCTTTCAGAAGTTAGCTTTGGTTGCAGTAAAACCTGATTTGCACTTGTGTGCCACTTAAAGCAAGGAAGTGCTCAACAAGCAAGTCCTCAGCGCTGTAGTACCAAAGTTAATATTCAAGCCTCAGCAGTCTTCAAGATGTAAGCTTTATCATGCACTTACTCTTTTGGTCAATTCGGAGATCATACAGAGGTGTCCTGTAAATGTCCACACTGGAAAGTGCACATCGGGAGAGGGGCACGTGATGGGAAGGCCCAAGAATGAAAATTTTTCGGCTACAACAATTAACACAAAAGCCCACAGTTTAGATAAACGCAATTGTAGAGAGACCTAGCTTAGAGCAACAAGTTTAATAAAAACATAGAAAGCAATACTTTCTCAAGGCTACAACTGTTTTACTCTGCTGTCTGTAAGACCACAGATCAATCCATGGCTCAACCTTGCTCAGTATCTCAGAAATTATCATGAGATCAGCTCAATAATGCTTCCTGTAGCCTTAAATCTCTTAAGCAGGTTATATATCACAGGGCACTCAACAGCTAGAAATCTGTCTAACTGGATTCATTTGGAGGCTGAATGATGTCATACAGCCCCTCAGAACAGATTTTTTGAATTCTCTCCTTGGATCAACAGAACCTTCAGCTACACACCGCTACACACCACCTTTAACAACTATAGGAATGTGACCTCAAACAACGATTACGGGTTTATCATCTATTCAGACCTTTTCACTTATTTAGTTGATTAGTCTCAGTTCAGATTACACCAAATTAAAGTAATTCTCAAATGCTGTTTTTATCTATCTGTTGCATCAACAACAGGGACTTGGACCTGCACATTCATAGCTTTAGCTGATACTGCAACCTTTCACACGTCATCATGATGTTATTTCATCAAGTCCTCAGTTCCTGGCTCTTGATTAGATGCTTAGGGTCTCCTGCCACAGGACTTACAAGAAAAAAGAAACAAAAAATATAGGAAATTCAGCTTTTCCGATTCAGGATATCATCTTTTTTCTGGCACTGAACTAAGGGGGTGGGAAACATGTAAAGTTGTGGGGTTGTTTTTTTTCCTTTACACACGGAGTGCTATTAGCAAGGTACACTAAAGTACTATAACTTTCTGCAAAGCTAATGAAAACAAAATATCCAAACATGCAGTAATTCAGCTCAAAGATGAATTCTAAACATCCCATGTGGTAAAACAGCAAATGATCCATAAAGTTCAATTGACTCCATGTCACTGAATGTGGGAAATGCAACTTGTTCTGGAAATTTTAGAGGAACTAGGTTTCTCTAAAACTTAGGTCCCACCATAAATTATTTTCACATAGTTTACAATAGTTTAGAAAGAATTAAACCCATTGGCTTTGGAGAGTATAACAACATGTTATCTCATGAAAAACTGATAAACCTAGCCAGTTTTCATTTAGCATTGCAAAATACATACTTTGAGTAAATACTGGAGGTGCATTAAATTTTTGCCATTAAAAAAAAAAAGTTGCAGTAAGTAGAACATAATAAGAATTATATTCCTTTAACCTAAAATAACTGGATTCATATTTTCAGAGGCAGGCACAGACTACAGTAGCATGCTGGGGGATTTAAAAATTTTTCTTATTTTAAACTTATTAGAAACAAAAGTCCATCTAAAATTATTGGAATGAGTAACTGTCACTGACTTAAAATATCACATAAACACACGGGTCACTTTCTCCACAGAAGAAGAGAATCCTGGTAGTATTCAGCCCATAATCCTGCACTGAAAAACCAATGCAGAATCATGGTCAAATAGACTTAAAAAACAACCAAAACCTCCCAATGACAACCAAAAAAACCAAATCAACCCAAAAACTCCAAAAAAACCTCCCCAAAAAAGAGCTTGGGCTTTTATAAAAGCAGTGGAATGCCAATAATATACTGTTATTACCTGCAAAAAGAACATCTTCAAGCCCTCCCTTGTTATAGTTACCAATAATTTCAACAAATTTTTGAAAATACTACTTTACATTTTCTATTTCAACAATACTATATTTTTTTAATTTGTAACATCCAATTTGAACATTTATGATGTTAAAACCGAGGGGACCCATAAAAATCTAAAAAAAAGTACAAAATTAAAACTCGAGTACTTCAAGGTGTAAGAATGTAAAAAGAACATTCAACTTATCAGGGAATTGCAACGGCATTGTCTGCTGCTTTGTAAAGAAAAACTCATACTTACGTGATATTAGGATCCACTTGTTTGTAAGCATGGGCTGCACAAGATCCACAGTAGGTGTATCCTGCGTGGCTGCAAATTAAGGTGTACAAAATGTTAACAACGTTAAATATTGCTTAACATCTTAAATATGTTGATATTGCTACTAAATATTAATATCTTGAATATTTTTTGTCCCCAGTAAGCTAGAAATAGTAAGAGTGATCTAAAAGCCAACTCCTGAAAGAGCAGGAGAGCACTGCTGTAGTATTGATCACACAAGTGATATATTTGTTGAAGAACTATCAGTGACCGTTTACCGACCCATTAAAGAACTATCAATGACCATTTGCCAGTAAATAAATGTCCAAAACATAGCCCCTTCCATCATTCTGAAAAGACACTGGTGTGCAGAGTGCACAACTGCACATTATCAGAAACTCACGATAACACCAAGTGTGCAGCCAGGGACAAGAGAATAGCAAATTGCTGGAGAAGGCTCTTCCAACCACATGGCAGTAACTCAAAATGATGACAGTAGAGGGGTCTGGCAAAGGAGAGCAGATAAACCAGAGAATAAAAATGCTCTGTCACAGAAGATGAATACATGAGCAAGAGAGTGAAGCCAGACAAGCCCCAGAAAGCAAATATAACTAATATCATAAAAGGTAAAAAGCTAAATTCATAATATAAGTATAAGCAAGAGCAGAAAAGCTTAGTCTTAGAAAAAATTAGAGGCAATGATTCACTAAGGTATGCAGTATGCAGCACATACTGGTACAGCAGAACAGAAACTCATGTACAAAGAGGAACACCCTGATAAAGAAGGAAGATGAGCCAAGACCTGGGTATCCTTGCAAAATCATCAGAAACCTCTGCCAGATACACTAAGAAGTCAGCCAAAGTAAGAAAGTTCACAAAGTTCAAGATGAGTATGCAGAGTGGGCAGGGGTATTCCGATGGATGAAGGCCGGATCTCCCATCCCAGAATCTCCCCAAATTGAAGACCACACCTCTAACTCCGCCCAAACTCCACCTGTTATGAATATTGATAATGTATGTTGCAATTCTATGCATATGCATGCAGAAGTGTTGTAATCGCTTGTAAAAATCATATATAAACCTGTTCTTTTGTTGATAGAGCAGAGCAGTTTTGATCCGGGGCGACCCGGCTGCTCTCCGACGTCGTAATAAAGTACCTCCTGCTTAAAGGCTACAAATTTTGTCTCTAAGCAGTTTCTTCTCGTTCGTGCCTTTTGGGGCAAAATCTTGGCATCAAGAGTGAATAGGCACACAGACAGAAGTGGAATGCAGCATGCTAGTTTTTACTGCAAACATGATACATCATTTCCTATCACTCTGGTCTGGGGTCTTTCTTGACCTCTGTTCCTGTTGGCTCTCCAAAATAATTTTTAATTATTCTGACTACTTTTTTTAAATAATACATTCAAATCTTAAGACCCATTCCCTTCAAAAGTGTTAGAAACCAGTGAAAATTCACTTTACACCACTAAAAGCATTAATTCCAGAGAACATTCATTTCCAAAGTCCAAGGTCAAAGTGGTGCAAAAGAGCTCAGTCACTCAGCAGTATGCCCGTGCCACATCACCCCCTCGAGTTCATCTAGAGCACCTGCAACTCCAGGTCAATAGTTACTGCTTATTTTGAGTCGAGTACGTGCAACAACAGAACTACAGCTTTCCCAACAGTCTTTTTACACAATGATACAGAGAATGATACATACTGCAAGTCCTGGGATATACAGGATGTTTCAAGATACAAGTTCCCTATTCATAGCACCAGAGGATTTTATATGTATGTATGCTCACCTGCATCTATATTCATCCACAGAGTGATACATGGACCAAGTTATCCTCAAAATTACCCTGGGATTTTGCCTCAACATGACTTAATCCACTCATTCTAAAGAGCTCAGAAGTGGCAAGGTATGTCACTTGACAATGTCAAAAGAGCCTGCTGAAAGGTTCGCTCTGCTACAGACTTCTTCCGTGTTCCACAAAAATATTATCAAACATATCCCACTTTACAGGTGGGGAAAAAAAAAAAGGCATGGCTAATGAAAAGCTTTGGTGAGATCACAGGATCTAGCAATTCTGGAAAAATATACCAGTTTACATAATCTGCAGCTGAAAGGTCTCTTTCCTGACATTCCTGTAAGAAAGATTAAGGCAGATGTGGGACAATTTCTTCTGGAAATTCAATACTACTATGGAATACTTCAAACATTATGTCAATGTGTGCTGATTTAAAGGTAAACCGGTAGGAGAAATGAACCCAACTCAAAAGAGAGATTATAAGTCAGAATAACAATTTAATAAAATAATACAATAAATACGATTATACAGACAAACAATTGGTTTTAACCCACAAAACCCAAATGTATAACCCAGCACCCTGGGGCATGAACAGAGTGGTGTTCACTGGGCCCCCTGAGTCCAAAGTAAAAGGAGAGGGAAAACCTGTTGGTGAGAGTGCTGTTGCAGTCTGGTCGAGAGCGGTGATTGCAGTCCAGTCGAGAGTGGTGGTCACCCTCCTTCTTTGGATCCCACCAGTGGTAAAAAAGTCCCAAGACTCCAAGATTATATATATCCCCAGGTTCAGGCAGGAATGCCCAGTGCCTCCCTCAGGGTGGGGAGTTCCACAATGGGTGTGAGGACAGGAGCATCCTCCTATCTCACAGGCCTCTTAACACCCAGTTTATAGCCTGAGAAGTCAGGAGTGCTCTGGGCAGGTGGTGTAAATGGTCTATTGATAACAGTTTTTGAGAAATGGCATGGAAGGCTATAGAATACACAGTTTTGGGTTACACCCATACAGTGATTAACTGGTCCCAGCTGTTCTAACTAGGACACAATGCTATGTTAGCACAGGAAAACCATCATATTTAAGGAGCTTTTTCTAGTGTTTTCTTCCAACTCATAATCAATTGAAATGACCAACATACTTTTCTCATTTCATCTCAACTATCTTCAGGAAATTGAATTCTCCCTAAGTAGTTCAGACAATCCCTATTTCAGCTGTGGACAAAAAAAACCCCAAACAAAACCAAACTAAAATAATAAACCAACCATTTTGGATAGCTGAATAACGTTTCATTACTTTTTGTTTTAAGCTTTGCTAAGTTTTGATTTGGGGGGCAAGAGGGGTGCGAGAGTTTTGCTTATTTTGTTGTGTTGTAGGTTTTTTTTTTCCTAGTAGGTGTAGCTGTCCTACACTAGAAGTGCATTGAAAGGGCTGTCACCTTTGAATAGCACTCCATTAATACACCTCTTACTCATCTTACTGGATCACAAATGAATATTGTGTCTGCAGTCCACCAGCAAAAGGAAATTAATCATACATCAAAATGTGCACAGATTTCTTCCATTCTATGGCATATTCAAAATGGTTATTTAAAAACCACACAACATTCCTTTCAGCTAAATACTAGCTTTTACCAGTTTTTAAAATCAATCAAAACAAATGAACAAAAAAAAGCATTTAACCAATCAAGTGTTAATATATATATTAAAACAGATTTCAAACTTACGGTGCAATAATGGCTCTTGCAGGTCTTTTTGTGGACTGTACTTGAGAAAGCCACCCTTCTAGTTGTGCATTCAGCTGGGGTCCTGTGAAGAGACCAGGAAATACTGAAGCCACAGAAGAATCTAACATATCTCAAGAATTAACAAATAAAGTTTAAAAGTCCAGCAGATTTAAAAGTCATCTTAAACATTAAAGGCTGGGCTTAAATGTAAAAATTGACTCCTCTGATAACCATATTTGCAGAATTCAGAAGTAAAAGTTAAGATGACCTACACCAAGAGAGCCCGATACGGGAAGATGACATAATACAAAGGCCTTACATATTGACATGATAGTCAATGGTTACGGTAATAAATTCTTTACTATTATCAAGCAAGTGTAAGAGCAGAATACAAAACACACTGTAACCTGGAAAATCTGTAAATACACAGGAAAACGCTAAAAGTGAGAAGACACCACGTTTATAAGAACGTCTTAACTTCTGATCAATCAAATATACTATAACTACATGAACACCTTGGCAACATTAACTTTGATAATTGGTCAATCCAGTATTTAACTTTTTTAAAACTAAATTTAAAATACCTCAAGAAGTGTCAAATATTCTCAATTCAAGCATGACAGGTGATAAAAATGCCTTTAGAAATACAACAAAAAAACCCAAACAAACCACATTTTGATTATTTCCCATCACAAGAAAACTTTCTTATGTAAAGCTTGTCCTGAACAGGCAAGTCTTGCAAATACAGTGCAACATTCATTATATTAAATAACACAAAACAAGCTTGCAAGTAAAACTCATGCAGCTGCTATTGTTAGAAGTAAAATACCACTAACAAAGAGAAAATAGATGTACTTTTTTTCAGCAGACACTACGCTTTTGACAAAACTATATGTCAGCAGAGTTTATCTGTAAAGTTTGGTGCAGTCAGACACTTTTCTTCTTCCATGCACATTGTAGATTTTTATATCTTCCCCATGCAGGGGAACTACCACCTTCCAGTTAAAGTCAAAAACAAATTAAGTATCCGAACCAGTTTCGCAGATATGTTCCAAACAGTCCCAAACTCAAGCTGACAGCTCTCCAAAAGGCTGACAAGAACTACAGAGAGACAGAGCAAAGATGTCAACTTTTGCAGAATCCAATCAGTCACTGACCAGGCATAGCCAAAAAGCCTTCCCTAGAAAACCCATGGGGGAAGGGTGGGGGTGTCAAAGCCTCTGGTTTTTATACAAAACTTAAATCATGCTTCCTGAAAAAGGACAACTTCTGTAGTTGTGAAGAGTCCTACCTTGTTACATGAAGGTGGACTAATCCAAAACCATTTCCCTAAGCCTTCAATCACACCTTGAATGCCTAACAAGACAAAAGAGTGACACTAATTAGCCACTTGTCACTCCTGTAATACTGATTTTGTAAAATGATGAAATTGCTACAAGAAATTGCTACAAAAAATCACCACACACCGACTTTGTTCTGCTGCTTCTGTTGCTTGGGGAAATTACAAGCAGCAGAGACATACTATAGAGATAAGGATAATGACATCTGAGAAAATGGAGGCTGTTGTGGAAGCTAAGTAAAAATAAAATGATCTCTCTATTTCCATCCTCTTTCTAAGCTACTAGGAGACTAACAAAACAGTACTCTTTCACAGTATTACCACTTTTATGTTATATATTTAAGCGAAGACACAAATCACCTAAAAATTTTACTTCCTCATTCTTCCAAAATATGTAGAAGGGTAAGATACTTTCTAAATTAAGCTCTTTAGGAGGACACAGCTGGTTTTGTTTTGGGGTTTTTTTTCCCCAAACACTTACTACCCAGACTTGAACAAAATATTACTCTGGATCCTCTTCTTTGAGGAGTTTGGGTCAGGTGGTGCACAGGCAGCACAATGGCAGAAGGGCCAAAATTTGCCAGGCAAAGGGTGACCCTCTTCCCCAATAGGGCACTGTGCTTAGCCTTCCTCCATCCCTTCTTTAGCAAGGATTTTTGATTAAGGAGGTGGTTAAGGCGATTTGTCTTTGGTTGAGACAAATCAGGTAACCTGCTAATCAGTTTAAAGACAAAGGTCAGAATCTCTGGTAATATCCTGAAATTTCATGATTGGTCAAATCTGCCCAAAACTTCTGATCTTACAGTGTAGTAGTGGAGTAAGATGTCCAGGTTTGCTCAGACTGCTATTACAGGCACACACTCTAACAAAGTAACATTTTCTTCTTAGAGGCAGTAAAATAACAGATCTGTATGACTCACGGGATGAAACTTCTGTCAGTATTTGCTTAAGGACCAAGTAACAACATCTGCTCTCAGATTTTTTCCCTTTAATGCAACTACAAGGTGTCTGTTTAAATAATTAACTTCAACCTAATGTAAACTTTCAACTTATCTGTACTATTTTAATAAAATACGTAATCAAATCTCTCAGAGAGAGAGAATGAAGAGTACAAATACCCATCTGACCTTTTAGCTAAAGAGGGGGGTGTGGAAGAGGGAAATAATCAAACAGCACCCATATGAACTGACAGGAGTGTAGCCTCCCTGCAGGTTCCTATGCTTAAAAACACTTTAAGGGGAATACTCTAGAACTGTAATTTTCTTGTTACTAAATTAGCATCAACTTTTTCATGAAGTGCGCAGAGAAGTTTTTCTTCCAATTTCTCAAACATGAGGATGTTTAAGGCTAAAGTCAAAATATTTGAATTGGATATACAAAATATAAATAAACCCACACTATCACAGTAGCTATGCTCTGCCATATGGAATTGTATTATAGGAGATGAGTAGCTTCTTCACAAAGCGCTCTAAAAGTAAATTTTTGTCATATTTAAATTAAGTTAAACTGGAAAAGTAGTATTTGCAAATAATCATCAAGACAACTGTAGTAAATATCCATCTCCTAAGCTGACCAGCTTGGACAATGTATGGCCTTGCCACCCATGTATCCTCTTGCTGTGGTGGTGGGAAGTAGAAGAGGTCCCACCTCCTTGAGCCTCAGGTAGAAGGCCCAGCTTGAGAAAGCTGGTAGGAGAGCAAGAGGAGGTTTAAGACTAACCCAGACAGAAGGACAGAAAACCTTATGGATGCAATTTCTGGATGCAACAATCAATACACTTTAGCATTAATACTGTAAGATCAGACCTTTTATTGACAACAGGAAGATGAGGCAGCAAAATATGAGCTTCACTGAAGTACATAACATTAAGATCTGCATTTCAATCCTATGAAGTCAGGTATAATTATAGGCACGTAACTAAAGATTTCTGACACTATTTGTGGATATTTCACATCCTGTTTTATTTTGAAAACCAGCAGAAATCATGCCAAATTTTACAATAATTGCAAGCACATACCAAGTCTCCACTAGGCAAAGATATGGATACAGCTACTGGCAGGATTTATTCAACTATCTTGCCTAAAAGGGTAAATTATTTTTACAATCAGCATTATCCCATCACAAAGCTCTAGAGTAAGTAAAAAAGAATCTTGCCACGTTAAATGCATGCCACTGTTACCCAGTGAATAACAACACAAAGACGTGGTAGTGACATAGTTACGTTCATCACCAATTTACAGCTGTCATGGTCCAGGCTTTGTGGGTTAAGCCAAACGAGCATATTCTTTCCACAGCCAACCTCACCTTATCAATGAGGCTGAAGTGCTTATATGCCAAGACAATATAATGGGAATTTGCTCCTTTTCTGGCAGCCACCGTTACTTGTACAAAACATACATTTTAAGACTGGTAAGAAAGACTCAGTGTTTATTCTGAATCCTCAGTCTCAGTGAACACTTTTCTTACTGAAAGAGGATAAGCCTCAACCGAAATTCAGAGCAGCACCAGGGAAAATTGCTCAGGTCTCCCTTGGCTGCATGTGTACAGCACTTGCATCAGTCCAAGTAATGCTGGAGCACAATGACAGTAATGCTGCAGTCCCCAGCCTTCAGTTATACTTGACAGCTTTTACATGTCTCCTCCCCTACAGGAGCAAACACCTTTTGCTGAGTCTTCCTCAGCAAAATCTTTTAACTACCTTTACCAATTGATGAGAAAGTCTACACCTCACAAATGCTTCTAATAAATATTACAGCATATGTGCTAAGAAGTAAGTCTTTATTCTTGTAGAGTGTTAGAAAAATCAAAGTAACAATGAAACTTCGGGGGCTGGTATGCAGTTAGTTTAATAACTGGAACAAAGGGAATTCTTCTCTCCACAATTTTGAAGGGGAATCCAAAATTCAGTTGTTAGGCAAAATCCAATATGAAACATGATAGAGGACTAACTAGTTTCTCAGTTAAAAATGCAGAAAGTATAAGGATTTTTTCAAGAACACAAACCTCACTTGCAAAAAAAATGATCTGTTTCTTAACACAACAAAAGCCAAATCCTTGAATAAAAAAATATGTTTTAGCTATGCAAAGACTAGGATTTGTCAGGAATAGAATGTGATTTCCAACAACTCATGCTGATGGGCACATTCTCTACTGCTAGCATATACTCTCTTCCAGTACTGATAAAATTAGAACTCAGACTACAAGCAAGTCAGAAATTTACCAGGGACAAGGACCCTTACCTTACAAGGACCAGGGAAAAAAAAATTAAGGTACAAATAGAGATTACACTGATGCTATATAAATTCCTATTTATACACATTGTCAGATGGAAATAAAAACACCAGGTAATGCTTGAATGGGAGAAAAAAACCCTGAAGCTACAACAAAGACATTGAAACAGACATCAAAATCTGCTTCGGTGGTAGTTCTTACTTGCATGTCCCAGTTTTCCAATATTCCACTAGCTCCTGAATTTCGTTTAATGAAAGTTAATAGGAAATTAAAATATCAAACTGTAACATCACTCATTAAGAATATCAACCAACATGCACCTACCTAACTTCATAAAAAAAACTTAGCAGCCGGGTCAATCGGAGATCCAAACAAATGACCTTCTGTTTCATACATCTGAGAAAGATTTTGGCTCCAATACACGCTAAATGTAAATGGAATTTGTGAAAGTATTCACTAAGTGATTCTTGCAGGCCTATTTTAATGATACCAGAACTACACCAAACGAAAGCTCTTTTTCAATTCCAAATGTAAATTAAAGTTGAATCTACATTCTTTCCATGGAGTATTTTGATTTTGACTGTATTTAAGTGATTCAGGTAGAAATAATAGCCGAGAAATTGTATTTTGAATTATTCCAGTATATTTTTGCAGCATACAATGCTAAATAATACAGTCTGCATATTAATACTGTGTTCCATGTTTAATTCATGAGAGAGTCAGCAATGACACATCCAGTTTCCCCATAAAATGCCTAGAAAAGTTAAATGACCAATGGGAGAGAGATACTACATTTGGTATTTAATTGCAAAGCAAACACTTTATAAATTTGTAAGGCACTATGATTAGTTGTTCACAGATTGCAAGGTAAGAACTTGAGTTAACAGCTGTATTTGTAATGCTTCGGCTAATGTCACAACATTAAGATTTCATGATCAGTACATTAATTATTCTGCTACTGCAGAAAGCTCCTTTCACTACAGCAGAGATCATAGAATCATTCCAGTTGGAAAAGACCTTTAAGATCATAGAGTCCAACCATAAGCCTAACACTGCCAAGTCTACCACTAAATTATGTCTCATTTCAGTGATCCTCACATGCTTTTCCCATGTTTTCCTGGATCCATTTATCTGTGACCATTTACAAACAACACGGTGATTCATCACTTTTATATTACATTTATGAATGAGCAGTGATGAGTTATTCCAATTTTGGGGAACATGCCAGGGGTTCTTGGCACACCAGAGGAAAGCACTTTCATAAAGACTCTTTCATGACATAGAGAACATCTTCTTCAACCCCTTGTCTGCATTCATAGTCTAACCACACACAGTCACACACGTTATTCCCTTCTAATCACTTCAGCTGCTGCAGAGATCCAGGTCCAAACACTACAGAGAAGGGTTTCTGCTCTAAGTTAAGGTAGGATGCAGACATTGAGGGTCAGCAAACCCAGCAGCAGTATTTGCCCTCAGAAACTGTGGGCAGCCCACCTGGTGAACGGCTTACACGCATTCAGCAACATCATGGCAGAGCAGAAACAGATGTAACTGATGTACACACTTTCCCTAATGCTGATGAGAAGTTCCAGCTCATGCCAACAAGCATACAAATGAGGGGATTACATCACTATTCATTCAAATGGTCTTCAGGGACCCCAAGCCTCAGAAGGTACAAATGAAAACATCTGTACTATTTCATAATCACACTGCTATTGCACGTTGAAGCTGCCTACCTTGGCATCAGGAAAAAAAAAATCAGTATTTGGTACAAAGGCAGTAAAAAAAGCATTAATGCAGATCTTACTGGGGATTACAAAGGAGTAGAAGAGATCGCAAACATGATAAAATAGTGGCCAACTTTGAGGGAAATGTAACTTCTAAACCAATCATTCATGGCACACAATCTGCATAAGTTCTCCAAAGCATTTTACTTTCCAGCTGATCTACC